AGCAGCTTGAGTTTTGTTGGTTTTTTTTATAAGTAGTAAGCGAAGATATTTATATCGGGTAAATAAAGGTATCATATGACGATTGAAAAGATGTGATTTATCGAGAAATGAAAAGAATGTTTTTAAATTTGGTGTTTTTTCATATGAAACTTAAATGAACACTATTGTATTCCACAACTAGGTGATATGACCGATTTATGTCAAATGTGAACTCGTGACAATTTTGGAAATGAAGTAATGAGTAAGGGAACCAGATAGCATATATAACTATGCTGTACTAAGTAGGTATGCCCGATTCATGGCTAGCGTCTGCGCGTTCCTATCTGTTTTCACTATAGAAATAAGCCTTTCAAAATGTCTCGAAGATTAGGTTAATGTAAACATACGCTTATCAAAGCTCCATCCAATGTAATATAGACTTGAACAAGGACGATTTTATCCATCTCAGCAATTACGAAACTCATAAAACTCAAGGAAGCCGCAGAATCTAGACAGCTGAAGGAATGTCAAGTGATTGAAGAAATTTAAGTAACCGAAGAAACTCGAGTAACTAAAGAATGTTAAGTGATTGAAGAGATTCAGGTAACTAAAGAAATTCAAGTAACTAAAAGAACTCAAGATGTCTGATATGAATATAAGATCTTTTTTCTTAAATTTTAAATATTTATATGAAAAATTAAATTACTAAGTAAAAACTATTGTTAATAAAATCAACTAAAGAACAAAGAATGAAAAAAACATTAATTGATCTTGAAAATACTTAGTAAAATTTGTTTTTTAGTTTTTCATAAAATGAATACATAGATATTAAAGTTAAATATGAATTTTCCACGTACAAATATTACACTTGTTTCAATAAGTGAACATCAAATAGATTTACAAACATCACTTTCACCAAAATTTATTTCACATTTTATTGATTTCGATTGAAGTTAGTAATGATTTTACTCGACAATCACAGTTGAGACATAATTGGGATTCAAAAGACAACAACAGCTATGCACATATATGTGATACTAGATTTAAATATCAAAAGTCGATTGGCCATTACACCACTAACCAATAGGCAAATAGTTAATTAAGGACGATTCCTTTATTAATAAATTGTAATCATTGTTCAATTTAAAAGAAGAAGAAAAAAAAATAAACTTCTTGTTCTTAACCGCTGTCACCACTGTTATATCTCGATATATATATATATATTAAAGAGAAGACGTCGAGTTCACTTCTTACGAGGCATACCCCTCCATTATTTAACTAAACGCATATATATATAGATAACAACAAGGAAAATACAAAAGAAAATAACTGAGATATAGATGTCATGCTATTTCATATCATAACAAGAATCACTGTCAAATAAAAAAGTTTTTCTGTATTATGAATAAAATTACAAAAGTGTATATCATCCGTAACTTTTGCAAATGTTTTTACAAATAACTTGGTGCATATATCAATCAAATAGTAAATTAAGATACATAATAATAAATTGTATACTCTTGTCAATGAATTGATTAGTATAATACATAAAATATAAGTTCAAATAATAATAGAATTTAAAATATATCTATAGTTGATTTCATTATTTAATATGGCATTTCGATTAATACGATCAATATTGGTAACGTGTCTTCGAATTGGTAATACATTTGTTTTTAAAAACAATAGGCCAATTTGAATGGTTTTTATAATCACAGATATTAAACAAATCATAATTAATAATAATATTTAGGTCTGGGTATGAGTATGAGAAAGATGCATTCACACCTATTCCACACAGGAATAATAACAAATTTAAACTGATTCTTTTTGTTTTGCTTCTGTTAAATAAAGAAAAATTATTTGTATTAAAACATGTCTTTTCTTCGTCCTTTTCCTTGACTATTACAAAGCATTTTTTTTTCTTTCATACAGACGTTTAACTTAATTAAATGCACAGCAAAAAAAATCTTTTCGTAAGTATTAATAATCAACAAACATATGTGGTAGGTTAGATATATTTCTATATATGTAGTTGTATAATGATAGGTGATTTTTTTTGTTATTTATCAAGGGTTTTTGTAACTGAATTTTATTATTATATTTGTCAATCGTGCTATGATGTGTTTTAATTTTATGATTAATGGTATTCTCGAGACAACGTTGTTATAGAATTTTTTTTCGATGACGTAGTTTTCCTTACTCACTTTGAAAACTGTCCAACAGAGTATGACATAACAAACAGAGTCGTCATCAGCATAATAGTATGATGCCGAAGAACAGTAATGTTAACAAGTTATTTTAATTTCTCCTCTTACTTAAAAAAAAGTGTTTGAACTGACAATTTTTTTGTAAATATAAGGTATAATCATGATTTCATTCCACTAAAAAAAGTATAATGCTAAGCTTTCATTGTAGAGATTTTAATAGTCGAGAGGTAATGTGTTGTTCTTAATTTTTAATAGTAAATATCCTTTCTTTGACTAAAATAATTATAATTCTTCAAAACTTAAGATGAAAACTATTAGTCATATTGTATAGAAGTCTGATGTTATTTCTCCTAATAAATTAGTAACAGTGAACATCTGCGCCGTTCAAAATGTAAAAAAAAATTTACTGTTGAAAAGAATGTCGATGCATTATTATAATTATTAACAGAAATACACTTTACTCAAACATATGAACTTCATTCTTAATATACTAACAATGAAAATATTTTATAACTACCTCACTAGTGAAATAGCGTTGAGTATAATTGTTTTCATCGAAAAATACAAGTTAATAGATGTTTTCAATTACGAAAAAATCTTTGTCAAGAGATAAGTATCGAATAGAAAAAAAGTATTTTTTTTCTGCCTTTTATATGATATTATAAAAAAAACAGTTTATTTGAAAAAGTGTATTTTATATTATGAAAATTACTTTAACCAAATGCAATGAGTAATACTTTTTTTTCTTATTATATTAAAAACTCAGTGTTTTATTCAGCTTTTTTCGTCCGAGGGTGCGAAATTAACTGCCGGGGGGGCAAAAATCTCTCTTCTGAGGGGGCAAACGTAGAGTTTCAGACTCAAAAAGCGTAATTTTTCTGAATTCCGGGGGGGCAGGAGCACCCTCCGAGGGGGCAAAAAGCCCCGTGCCCCCCCGCTGGATAAACCACTGTAAAAACTATATGTATAGTGTTGTTTCCTTGTTTTTGAAATGCAGCTAGTGCGTTTTTTTTTCATGTCTGGTAGAAAAGAAAGGATGAAAACAATTGCACTTTTAACTAAAATAATTTCATTATACTCTTAGTCGAGAAAATGAAGAGATGCATATTCCCTTATAACAATATATCGTAGAGACGTACGAAGAAAAACTTTCATGGAATAAAGGTAAGATGAAATCTAATCATTATGTAGTTTTTCGAACATTTGTATAAAATATTCAGTAAAAATGGTTTGAATAGATGTGATATTTAACTTAAAAAAATCGAAGGAAAGTAAAAGGAGGTATGTTAGTAATATTATTACTAATCATTCATATTTAACGTTGCTTTGGTATTCTAAATAAATTATTTCTAGTACAAATAGTAGATAAATTCGAGGAGATCCATATATTCGAAGTTGGCATAGATTTAATCTTAATTAATTTTTTGTATTATCCATCAACGAGTTTTATCTATATCACAAGCCAATACTTTACTGATTCGCCATACCCTATTAATATAGTTATTCTAATGCACTGTCTATGTAGATAAAGTTACCATTACATTCGAGTAAAATCTTTGCATATTTGTTCGGAGATCTGTAATAAACGTTTGGGATAGTTTTTTGTAGGAATATGATATTGAATTCACCTGCACGCCTTTTCTCCCAGTTATATGATTATATCTTTTAGTTTGAATTTCAAGGGACGAGATAAACATAAACAGTAGAAATGTAATTATGTAAAAAATAATATTTTTAAAATATTAACTTCTACGTCGTAGATGTTTGCCATCAGATAAACAACAAAGAAAAAATAATTTCTAATAAGTAAAATTTTTTGTCGTTCTCCGAATAGACGAGGCGATATTAACGATGGTAACACTCAACAAACAAACCTCTCCGGAATCGTATTTTATTATAACATATAGTTAATTTCATAATGAAAATCAGTTACAAAAAAAATAAATTCAATTTTTGTATATATTAGAAAAGATATATATCTGAAATACTTGAAAAAGAACGTTTCTAATGTTTTTTTTATTGAAGAAAAAAGAATTCTGAAGCATAAACAAATCGTCATAAGTATTAACTATCCACAATAGTCGATGCTTACGCACGATAATAGTTTCATCAGAATTCAGATGATAGAATCGCTCATAAATCTCTAAATTAACAGTCCGACATCAGAAAGTTCGTGCCGGATTACTTTATTACAATCAATTGCGTTGCACAAGATTTTTTTTCTAAGAAAAAGAGTCCTTTCTAAGCGATTTTATAAACATACCACGCATAATACGTAATTGTATCTCATAGAGATGGTCGCAAACAAAAAAACACTAAAATCGTAATGGTGTCTTAGTTTATCCGTGTAACTTTGCCATCAGATGTCACTAACTATTTAATATGCAATAAATTATATTTTAGATAATGTATATATGATATTATTTGACATTTTTCATATTTGGTTGTGGTTGCTGTGTATTGGACCAATATCAGGTGCGTATTTGATACACTTTTCAAAAATTGTTTTAAGGAGAGTAAAACTATTGAGTTCGATCTTTTTTCGTACATAAATCTGCCACAAATTTCACCAATAAAATGTCACATTTATTCGATTTATAAGAATCTGAGAGATGATTGAGACCACAGTAAACTCTTCTGTATATAGTTAAACTCAATATGATAACTACATTTTCAAGACTTTCATTATATTCTAGAATGTTTTAACAGATTAGAGCTCTAAGTAGTAGTCTTAAAAATCGATAGCAAAGTTTCGAAAAACGTTTTCTATAGAATTTCATGTTTGAGTAGTATCGAGAACAAAATTACTAAATGCTCCATTTGAGTTTATAATAATCTTTATCGTTCAAGCTCCAGTCATAGTTTTCTTACTTTACCTAGGCATCTCCTACAATCAACCTAAACTTTGTGCAAATGCATCGTGGAATTCCACAGCAATAACGTTCGCGAACAGCACTGTAGTTGGTACAGGTCCCACTGGTATTTTTGTCGATTCAAATAATACCGTCTATGTTGCTGATCGATTAAATAATCGGATCCAAGTATGGCTTAACGGCAATATGACACCCTCAAGAACTATCTCTGGTGGTTTGTACGCATCTTATAGCCTTTTTGCTACAGACAATGGTGATATTTATGTCGATAATGCCTATTCAAATATGCGAGTAGACAAATGGGGAACAAATTCAAATAGTAGTGTTCCGGCGATGTATGTTTGTCCACAATGCACTGGTGTTTTCGTCGATATCAATAATATGCTCTACTGTTCAGTGTATAATTATCATCAAATTGTCTCACAATCATTGGATAAAAGTCTAAATATGTTGAGCATTGTCGCTGGTACAGGTACTGCTGGAGCAACATCGTTAACACTTAATTCTCCTCGCGGGATCTTTGTCGATACTAATCTTAGTTTATATGTGGCTGATGGTAACAATAATAGAATTCAAAAATTTATGTCAGGACAACTGAATGGAACAACAATACCAACAGGAACCATCACATTGAGTATGCCGTCTGCAGTTGTTCTTGATGCTGATGGATATCTCTTCATTTCTGATTTGTATAATAATCGTCTTATTGGCTCAGGATCTTACGGCTTTCGATGTATAGCTGGATGTTCTGGACCAGGATCGCAATCGAATCAGTTAAGTGCGCCAACAATACTTAGTTTTGATAGTTATGGAAACATATTTGTCAGTGATTACAACAATAATAGAATTCAAAAATTTCTCCTGATTACAAATTCATGTAGTAAGTAAAAATTAATTGTATCACATTCAACAAGAGACAGGTATGGATATAAGTGAACGAGGGTCAATATTTTCTTCATCAAAATTCATGATACACTTATATATGTCCTTATATCCAAACTCGGAAGAGAAAAAATTATCCTGTGTTTATTTTTGAATGAAATTATTCTTTTTTTAATTCAATTTCTCTTATAGATGGAACGACAGCTGTTACAACTATATCTACCGGTATTTTCTCATCGATTATGCTTTACGAATAATTTATATTTCTTTTTAATAGTAACTTCAACCAATACTACTTTGACAACTGCATCATCTTCAAAACGTACGTAATTTCTTTATCAGAATGTTTGAAAGTGACTTAATGTAGACTGCGGTCATCTTTTTTACGAGAGAAGTGTCTAAGACCTGATAAATAGGGATGCGTCTGCAATTCTTCTACAGAAATAGACGGCGATACAGATAACTGGTTGTTCCCAGCGCGGATTTTGATTGATACTATGGGTCTATCTGATCTACTTTTCTACTCTTATAAAGTTGAACCATGTCAAATAGCATTGTTCAAGTATAAAATCGCATTTGCAAGCAGTTAGGACGAATTTAAATCTATCCATCCGGTCCCGTCTGATATTTTCAAACTCAGCACCATGTTAAGCTAGACGTAGTTCAGCTCTGACTAGAAAATTTTAAGATGAATAAAAAGGCATATATGAGTTACCAGTAAAGCGGCCTCGAAAGGGATTAAATTCTTTTATGACTTATTTTGATCTTACCACCAACACTCACCGTTCCTGTTTTCAAGTTGGATATGTATAATTTAGAAAAGCAAAGTAGCTTTGTCTAATAGTTCCTGACAGTTGAAAAATTCCGATTTCTCAGTTCTCGAGCGTTACTAACTGAAGGCGATAAAAGATTTGAACGACTGTAAAGAGTTTTTACACAGAGTAGGTCATTTATATAGCGACGCTGAATATGGGGTTATTAAGGCCGAGTGTTTTTTGCCACCATTGATACAGTTTAATAATTTTTATAAGAACTTTGGATAAATATGTTTTTTAGTTCTGTCGTACAATTTACCAAAATTCACTACCTTTACTTCTTGGAGTGCCAACGGAATAACTTTTGCTAATACGACGATACTTGGAACAAATCCGTTTGGTATATTTATTGATACTAACAATACTATATACCTAGCTGAGCGAACTCCAAACCGTGTTCAGGTGTGGCATGACAGTAGCAGCACACCCATAAGGATTCTCACAAGTGGTTTATCAACTCCATTTTCTGTATTCGTTACTATTAATGGTGATATCTATATCGATAATGGTGGTTCAAATACTCGAGTTGATAAATGGACATTAAATTCAAGTACTAGTAC